TTCAAGAAATAATAAAAAATCAGTCCACTGGCCTATTAGCAGCAGTTGATCAGCTGGCGAAATTTGAATATTATTCTAAGCCTCAATTATTTTAATAACAGGCATTTTCTGATATACTTTTGATAGTCAGCAATTTTAGCAGAATATTGAGTCCAAATATTTGGAATGAATAGTATGTCTGCTCAGAAGTATTTTCACTTTGAGTGAATTTTCTTGATTTCAGAATAAAAAATCAGCAGATTCAGTAGTGTCAGTTGAATTCGGAATATGTATAGCCTGTGTAAAATGGTTGAACATTTTTGTTGGAATTGTTATTGATATCAGACTTCACATTTCTCGAGTCGTTGATGTAGAAGTGCCTAAATCTTTCGAACCATTCCCACCATGTGATAATTATGTTGATATTAGAGTCCCTGTATATACCTTAGACTAAGGTATATATAGGGACTCTAGTTGATATTAGTGTTTTTTATGATTATTTTCTGCAATAAAATTGTGGAGGCTAAGTTTGTTCAGAGTTTTATTCTCTACTAATAGCATGGCGTCAGCCGAGGCGTCAGCCCACTGTGATTTAGGCTTTCAAAGATGTTTTTTCATCCTCTGGAAACCCTGAGGCTGTCCTTAATAATTCTAAGCTTTTCTGTGGGCGAATGCATCATTGTAAATCACATGATTCACTGTGACCAATCTGGCAATGAGGTTTGGGAATGGTTCGAAAACTTTAGGCTCTCGTGTTGATTTGCCGTCGAGGTTGCTGTGATAACTTTAATAAAAAATGGGCCTTTTTGGAAGTTGGATTTTAAAATGCTAAGGCGTTCTTCAAATAAGCATAGTAGAGGGTACAAATAACAGTACATGTTTTTAGGCACATGGTAGATTGATTTCTAGATTTCCTACATTTTTAGTATAAATTATGAAAGTTAAGTAGAATAAGGTCCAGATTAACATCAAAACTGACCAACCAAAATCATTAATGGTCGTATTTCTACACAGGACATTTTTCTTTTAACCTAGTTTTCATTTATACTCTTTTGAACATTTCCATACAATTTTGATTGAAAGTGAGTATCTACCTGTACCTAATACAAAACATGTTTTCAATAGTAGGCTATTGAATTTATTGGTGGAAATAAGGGAGTTTTGTTTCATTGATGTGGGTACTTAACCTGCTTTATATTGAAAATTTATTTGATGAGGGTAAAACTCCACACTTGAATACCTACCTACTACCTATGTCATTCATCATTTATATCTAATATGATATAGATCAAAATATTTAATTTTATTTGATTCATTGAATGGTTTCATTTCTAAGATGAATCTGTAAGAGCATAATTGATTTTGTCTTTTCACTATTTTCTGACTCACTTCTGTTTTTTAATATTTAAAATAGGTATGTTCTGAGGTATGTTCTTCAAAAAGACTTTCATTAGCTTCACATGAAAATTCATTTATCCAAGAAATAACAGAACTTTGAAAATGTCAGTACTTCCTCATGTACTGACATTTTCAATAGAAAAAAGATTTGAAGATCTAACAAAATACCTGACAATATACAGTTGATGAAATATTAATTTTCTATAATTTACAACTTAGCAATTCTTTTTAGAATATATCTTGTTCAATAAACTACTCATTTTGTTTAGATTAAGTATGAGAAATTGATATTCATCAAACAGAGCATGGAAATAACATTCTGAATTGAGAAAGCCCAACCAAGTATCTGTGATCAGAGAGGTCTCTAGAAATAACAAATTTTCATTGTTCAAGTTTGAACCCCTTATATGAAGTAGGTAAAAATAATTTAAGCTAGGATTTGAAGGGACTGCCTGAATCAATAGATGAATGATGAATATTATTGATAAACATGAAATATCAAATCATTATATTGTATATAGAACAATACTAGAATGAGGAATCATAAAGTAGGTACCTAGAGCCTAAATATTTTTTAGTAAATAAGGAAACCTCATATAGAATATGAATTTGTTGTTAAAACACAAGACAGCAGGCAAGAGAGCAAAAACTGTACTATAAAGTGATGAAATTGCGGATAATGTATAGCCACTGTTTGATGAACTTCTTCATATTGTCCCCAAAATTTTTCTGAACAGATTGAACTAGGGCAATTACAACTAGGGCAATTGAACAAAAAAAAACAAATAACTTTATAATACAATTGTTTTTTCCTATTCAAATGATCACTGATACTAATTCATGAAAGAATATTAGAGAGAATAGTCTTTCGTCTCCAGAAATTCGTGCAATACTCACATTTTCCAGATTTCAGAGAATATGTATGAAAAATTGTAAATATTAAGAACTTCACTCAACAAATTTCATTCTGCTTTCTGCCAGTCTGCCACGTAAGTCTAAAGTGCGCATGATCTAGTTACATCCACGTCAAATATCACTAAAAATCACTATAAATATTGGTTAAAATGGTTAAAGGTTACCAAATTTTCCCCCATGTCAACAAACGTTTATAATCGAGCGCCTCGCGACAGTCTCCGGACACTCACACTACTTCATCCAATATTCTGGCTTCCAACATTGACGAATCTGGAATTGAAATGACGCAGAAAGCTGAATATTTTCAGCTTTTTGCGTTGCAAGATGCCATCGTCTGTGAAAATGGAAAAAATAGACAAATAATATTGTTATATAAATAAATGTTGATGGAACATTCTATGGAAGTTATAATAATGTGTTTGCTCATGATTTTTTTTTGTGAATCCAGGGAATTGTAGATAGATAGGGTCCCTTGATGAAAATTGACGTTAAAGTCATCTTAAGAGGGTGCGGACAGATTATAGCTGCATTCTTTTTTAATGATCTAGAGACTTTAGTTTTGTCTACTGGTATCCCTGTCACGTCACATCCATGAGCGCTATACAGAGAAGCATTCAAAATTTTAATAATGTATGTACCCTGGGTATTTACTTGTTGAGGAAGATCATATGGCGAACGAGTTTTGTAATTATGATCCAATTCTATTCAAAATTGAAAGATATCTGGGGTTTTATATAATTATTACTCTATCATAAATTGAAAATTTGTAGAATGCAAGAGTGAAAATAACGTGCCTATAAGTTATACTGTATACAATGATGGAAGTTAGATATGGTGTAATTGCAGATGCGCTTTAGTCTGAAATTTTCAATACGTAATAATGGCCGAATACGCGCACCATATCTTACTTCCATCATGCTGTATACCTACTTCTTTGTTACTTCCATCAATTAATTATTTGAAAATCACTTTTCATTTAGGAGAGACGGTAAAATCATATATATATCATGGGGGTCGTGAAGTATATCGTCGGTAAAATGGCAAAACCAAGTAACTGCAAAAACCAGAATTTTCAGGAGACACTGAAGAAAAAATTATTTTGGGTTAACTGATTAAATAAAAAATAGTTACAAATCACCTGATTTTTATTATCCTTACGTTTGTACAATGATTATTGCAAAAAGTCATTGTTTTTGTTTGTCAGCGTGAGATACTTGGTTTTGACATATGCTTCTGTGCGAAAGTAACAACAATTATTCAGAAAAGTAATTTGCAAAAACACGTAACTTCATTTTTCTGGACTTTCTGCTCGACAAATACTCAAGATACATTCTCACATCCTGTGATAAAATACCAATCCAATCACCAGAGATTAATCTGTGTGAATTGTGAAAAGAATTTGAACACAAAATATCAGAGGCGTGAATCATGTTGCCAACTGTTAGATAGTTGTTTTTGACGACCCCTTTTATTTCGTTTTTCAGATAATGGGTTTTGTATTTATGGATTTTAAACTATTTACAATTTTTCACCAGTTATGAGGTTTTGCATACGCGTCCTCACCAATATGATAGACCGATTGCCGCCAGAAACTCATTTTCGAATTTTTGTCAGTTATACTTGAACCCGAAGCGTGTGTGGAATTCGTACCCACAACAGAGCATATGGGTCGTAATGGTGGATAAATTGACCTGTGTTCTTACTTGCACCACGGATGTTACAAAGGTTTATTCTGAGGCTACATTGTTAGCCGATGGTGAACCCCCTCTAGCACCTCTCACCTGGGAACCCAAATGGAGAGGTATTTTATTTCCGGATAATTTTACTCGAGGACTCATCGTCGCTTTTCCTGCATCGCAGAGGAATAAGGTTGGCGTGGAAGGAAAAGGAAACTGGATTGGGTTGGGGAATTCATCAACCAGCTACTGAAACATGGGTTCAACCCATCTCACACCGAACGATGGTGTTAGCCATCTTCTACCTATTGGCGTCCTTTTAGTCGCCTTCTACGACAGACATGACTCAAGCAGGACTTACCGTGGGGTTATCGTTATTCTAATCCGACTGCTACACGGTACTTCGCACAGCATTAGATAGAAAACGCATTTTGTGTAACTCTGTGTCTTGCGGGACCTCGCTTCGCTCGTCTCATAAAATTAGTTGAGAGGAAATATGTACTCTTTCTGAACAATCTAACATAACTCGGCCTAAATGAACCTTCTTCGTAAAGAATATTATTATCAAAAAAATTACTTGAAAACAAAATTGATAAAAAGTTATTCCTCGCAAGGATTGTACCCCAGGTGATCTGTGCCCTAGGCCGCAGGCGTGTCATGATGACATTTGGCTCACTGTATGACGAGCTCTTACATTTGAAGAGAGTGTGACTACAGTTTACGTCAAAAAGCAGAATATTAAATATAGGAACTGTTGGGAGGCACTCGTGTTTTTGACAATAGGTGTTGATGCCGACGTAGGGAAAAAATAATACGAAACTTGTCAAACCAATATGGCTGTTTCCATCCTTCACTTTCCGTCCTTGATATATTCAAAAAGTTCCTCTCATTTTGGTCCCATTTTGGCCATTTTTGTTGGGATATCGTTGGTATAGCCGATGCGCCATATATAGAAATAGTGGACATATGGGCAAATGATTCTGCTCTTTCTGTGGTTCTATGTCAAGGATTTTAAACTCTAGAGTTCTATGCGTTCTATGTCACACTACCTTTGTCACACTGATGTTTGAAAGTTTAAAGTTTGAGGTTGGTTTTTCTATTTTGAGTGGTTGACTGAACGCTTTGCACTTTGCTCTCATTAGTCATTATTTCCAAATCAAATCTATTTGAATTGAATAATTAATATTGATATCAATCCAAAATATTCAATAGTAGTGAAAATGTGAGGAGAATGCTAAGACAATTTTTGATAATACTCACAATAGTGATAATATTCATTGCTGTGTATTTTCCTACTAGACATGCTAGACACTACAATTACATAGCTTTACAAAACATTGCAAATGAGTTGGATCTGCGAAAACCCATTGAAATCGATTATAACTTGAAAAACTGCACTTACCATGGGGTGGTATTGAATAATGAAGATATCAATATAGATTCAGTATATGTAACAAAGACATTCAATAAAACCTTCATAGGTGAGAAAAGTACATTTTCAAGTTTTTTTCAGCATGATAATGATGAGTGTTTCTGCAATGTATCTTCATGGCTGTAATAACTGTCACTTGAATTGATGAGGCCTGCATGATGGTGCACTTTGTTTCAGGTGGGGAATATAAACCATCTAGGTGTTTGCCACTCATAAAAACAGCTTTAATTGTACCATATAGGAGTAGGCCCAATCATCTCAATATTTTTCTGAATTATATGCACTCATTTCTACAAAGGCAAAATATTCACTACAGAATATTTATAGTAGATCAGAATGATACTTCACCTTTCAACAGAGCAAAGATGCTCAATTTTGGAGCCACAGAAGCCATGAAACATAAATATAACTGTTTGATCTTACATGATGTTGACCTCATACCAATCAATACTGGAAATATTTATGGCTGTACAAAAGTACCTAGGCATATGTCATCTAGTTTGGATACATTCAGGTGAATAATTTCAAGATACTTGACAAATCACAACTAAGAATTATCTATAAAATGACATTTTTAGGTATAATCTTCCCTACTTAACTTTATTTGGAGGAGCAGCTGCCATTTCCTCTGAACATTTCAAAAAAGTGCATGGTATGTCAAACAAATTTTATGGTTGGGGAGGAGAAGATGATGATTTTTACAGGTATGTGAATGTGAATAACAATACTTAGTATTCTCTTTTACATTCCGAAGCACAGGAAATTCAGATAATCTCATCTAGGTCTGAAAAGTAGAATTTTTGAACAAAAATGTTTTTATTTCAGGCGTTTGGTGCAGAATGATTTGGAACCATGCAGATTTCCCCCTGAAATCAGTAGATATATAATGTTACCTCATGAAAAGCAAAAGGCTAGGTAAGGTAAACTTTCCTTGTAATCTGTATAGTATTTCATCCTCAATATTGATTATTTTGTTTAAGTGAAAATAGATTCAAATTGTTAGAAGAATCAGAACAGAACCAGAAAACAGATGGTATCAGTTCATTATCCCAGAACTATATTGTAAAACTAGAAGATTTGTACACTCATATCATAGTTTCTTAAAATTCAGTACCCTTGATATCAATGAATTTTAATATTATTGTAATGTAAAGTATTTATATATATATATATGCATTTACCTGATTCTAGATTCTGACATCCATATTCAAAGAATCAACAATCAGCAACAATGGTTGCCAAATTGTAGAAATTTTTTATATTGATAAATATTAAATTTGTGGTCATATCATGGGTGATTCATCATTTCCTTTAATTTGTTCCAATTTTCAAACTTCCATACTACCAAAATAATCTATTTGCAAGATGATAATGAGAAATAACTTCCTCAAATATTCAATAATGATTCATAGGTACCAGTACAATATTTAATTTGAACATTTATTTTAATAAGATTAATTTTCAAAAAATTGTGGCAATTAATATCACAAGTACCTACCTAATTAGCTATAGTTGAACATGGTTGAACAAATATCAATTCACCTTAGTCTGCATTAACCTAGTCTGGGTTTTTTAGCATGTGGTTCTTCAGGTGCCAGAACTGACTTGTTAAATATCTCCAAATTTGAATTAATGGAATTCCCTCCACTATGCATTTGGTTTTGTTCTTGTGAATTGGATAGATTTGTTTCATTTTCTTTATCATCACTAAAGGCTTCACTTCCTTCCACACTGGCTCTAGTCTTTTCTTCTTCTGTATATTTCATTTGATTAGTTTTTATATCATCTTTGAGGGATTCTTCTTTTACCTCTTCCTTACTTGAGTTTTCCGTAGTGTGCCTTTCAATGTCCTGAGGATTGTGCAAATTTGTTTCATTATTTTCAACATCATTATCTACTTCAGATTTTTCTTTCCCTGCATGTTCCATTTGGTCACTTTCTGTGTCACTCTCCAGGGATTCTAGAATCTTTGACTGTTCTGATAATTTTTCATTATTCAAATTTCCCTCAATGTGCTTCTGATTTTCCTGAGAATTGGCCAAATTTGTTTCATTGTTTTCATTACCACTTTCAATTTCATTTTCCTCAACACTAGCTTCCCGCTGATCTTGTTTGGTGTGTTTAATGTCATCTTTGATAACATTATTTGTACTGTTTGTATTTTCAGATGAACTAGATTCAGATTGAAAGAAGTTGGTTATGGGTTTTTGCCATGATGGTGTTTCTTGGTGGGGAATAGCAGGTAGGCGTGAACTACCTGGAATTTAGGAAGTATTAAAAATAAAGAGGATTTTTGGGAACCAAATCACAATAATCATATAGAGCTCCAACGTGGGAGGAGTACTTGAATTTCACCTGGGACATGATAATTGTTTTTTTTTGAGATGTTATTATTATTTGTGATCTTCAAATACCTTTAGCAGAAGATCTACTGGATGTTAATGAAGACCCACTGCTGCTTCTTCCTGCTCCACCTCCACCACCACCACCACCACCACCTTTTTTTGAAGACTTCCCAGAACTAACTGAAATAAATGAAATATGTTACAAAATTAACCATCACTGATACACTTTAGATAATATAACTGAAAGATGATTTATTAAAATGAAACCTAAAAATCATCACCCAAAGGGTTTGTTGAATTGAAGCAACTATACCTACTACTATCACTAATCATTGCTAATAGCTTACTTTTTATGCCAGCAGAAGAAGTTCTAACCATTCTGGCAAATGGAGACAAATCTATTAAGTTCACAGTTCAAATAAATATCAGAAATATCAAATACAATTTTAAAAACCATTGGGTAGTTCAGACATCAGAACAGTGTTGCCAATGCAATTCGAGCCCTTCCTTCTCTTTAGGACGTGAAATCCTCCGCAAATGAACGAAAACCTCCTCTTCTCGACACGGTTATAAAAGGTATGAAATGAAACGGAATCTGACGTCACATAGATGTTCAATAAGTCATTCACGAAAAATATTCCGTGAGACGCGTGAAACAAATGAATCTGTGACATTGTGGGCTCTTCTGGTCTCTGGTGTTTTCTATGTTCTGTGGATAAAATGCTATTTTCTACACATTTATTGGAATCTTGAATGAAAAACATGATTGATAAATTAAATTATTCATTTTCGAACAATCATAATATATATATTGATGAATGAAATTATTTATTTTCGAACAGTGTGAAAAAACCAAAGAAAAACCAAAATAAACAAACTACACATTTGTTATTAAAAGTTTTCATTGAATTACGTATTTTTCCAAACACTGGTTTTGAGCATATACATTTTTTCAGTGGATTTTCCTTACCGAATCCGTATTTAGCGAGAGATATGATGCCAATGACCCAATGAGTAATGAAAATACAACTGGAAATATTCATAAAATCTGTTATTTTTATTTGATATCATTATTTTTTATTGTTATTGATTGTGTTGTGACAGTGTAAAAGAGATTTATGACATCATTCACACCATTGACATTGACACCGACCACAAAACTAAAACCGACGGTTATTTATTCATGTTACCACCACAGAAGCACAGACAAGAACACAGACTCCAGACTCACGGAGGGTTCGATCATGATCATGGCAATCATGGTCAGAGGTTGCTCGCGCAAGCCCCAACTAAAGTTGAGTAACAAAATTACAGTGATGGCTGAAAAAACCCCTTTCCTCCGCTTTTTGTGAATCCTCCTCCTAAAAAACCTCTAACGCCAAAAACAACCCCTTTTCGGAGGATCCTCCGCACATTGGCAGCACTGCATCAGAACCTTGGAGCAGTGTTGCCACAGCATGCCGAAAAATAGTAGTAGATTTGAGAATGAAAGGGGAGTAGATTCTGACTACAGTGGAGACTTAGTACTGATCTTTAGCTGTCAATGTAAGCGAGTTCAAAACCAGAGGGGGTCTTACCCACAAAATTTAAATCATTTGATCAGGAGGTAAATTTGTCAGTTTACATGTATAATTAAGTTAGAAAGGTATAAAAAACATATTGAGTCATTAATATAGCCTTATTACATAAAAAATAACTCTAAAAACTAGGAACATCAGTTTGAAACTCACTTGTCCATGATTGAACAAAGTAAGTAACTTCATGAGCATGATTTGACCTCAACACAACGTCCCTTCCCTTACTACTACAAACTATAAACCTGTACCGAAGAATATAGGTTCCTCTTTGGCTTTGTGTTTTTGAGAACCTATGGTTGCTCTACTGTCAATATTTGGTAAACATATATTACCGATAGCCCCTTTTACGCAAATAGGATGACTTCAATTTCTCTCTCAAATATACTTGTACGCTTTTTTATGAATACGACTGTACTTAAGGTAGTTTGTACAGGCAAAGAGGAGAGGGGGAAAGAGTTTCCACTTGAAGTATTTATGAATGAAATAGCAAACTTTGACAAAGCATTGGCTGAGCCAGTTTCACACAACTAGAAGTAGGATGCCGAAATCTTCTATGTTTAATACTTGTACGCTTTTTTATTGAATACGACTGTACAATAATGACACTTGACAACGATGGCCCAGCTTAGAATCCGGACAGATCCTCGTCTCCTCTCACTCTAAAGTGTTTGTGAAACAGTTATATAGTTCCATGTTCCATCCTCATTCAATTCTGGGGATAAACACAAGATTTTTGACATTTGTTGTTTTTTAGGTTATATTGAGGTCATTGGTGTATCATATGTAATTTCCATATGGAATTCCTGATTCAACTGTACCAAGATATATTTGAACAATCCTCTAGTTTTAGAGTTTACTACTCTATCATAATCTCTGCGAGGTCGTAAGGGAACATTAATTTGTACTAAAAGCTTAATATATTTCACCAAAAGAGACTGGTCTCAGACTGTATACCAGGGTTAACTGAATTGACTGAATGAATTCTGATTTCAAGCTGAGCAGTAGTTTAACTATGAGCTGAGCCTAATGATTGGGAAATGGTGAAAACCTTGATGTGGGTATCTGAACTACTGTACTCATGTCATGTGTGCTGAATATATTTTCGGACATCAAACTCGGAGAAAAATTTATGGAGTGACTAAATCTAGGACGAAAAGTAGGCTTTTGAGAAGTAAGTGCAGTTTTGAGCAGTGGTTATTTGAAAACCACTAGAAGTGAGATCTGGAGCCAATGCAGTTTTCGTGATATTTTCATAAAAAACTTCAGTGACCCACAATTAATATTTTGCTATTTTGTGAGAGATTGCTGCACATACTCTTCAGCGATATTCGTAGACTTCCAAGCAAGAATGTCTCCTCCAGAAATTTGCAAGTAAACTTGCCGAGGTTCTTCTGAAACTATGCCCGGTATAATTTATGACATCAGGCAGTTTTAAAAACTCTGCAATTTGATGAACGATGAACGGACCGATGACAGATGTCAGTTGATGACCGGTGACAGATGACCAATGACGTGTGACAGTTGACGTATGAGTTGGATGAAAAATGAATACATATAGGGCAGAGATAAGTTACCTAACTTTACTGGATGGTTTTCTCCGATTGAGTGGCGATATATCAAACACTCACATCACATTTGAATACACGTACATTTGAATCAGGAATAATCATCAGAGGAAATACATAGATGTTAAATCTGAGACATACCAGAATGATATTTTCAACGTCCGTAACTAGATTGCTACATATCCACTTTCTTTCCGTGTAGTGGTTTTTCCAGTAGGCATCTTCCACATGTTCAATTACGTGGGAAATATTGAGGACCTTGAAAGCCAAACAATGTGCTGCTCAGATCTGAAACTAAGTATCAATTTCAAATTGGAATCGTGAGACCTACATAAAATATGAATCTATGAAAAGTCTGGATATTGTTTTCAACATTCATAACTGGAACGCGATATATTTTTGTAATTCATCAATTCATCATCTATCTCAATGAAGACGAGACAGGCAGATAAACAACAATTTTCTCTGCAATGAAGAACACTGTATATACCTAACCCACCATGCGTCTACCTCCTTTGCAGAGAGGGTTTATAAACGCCGAGTTGATACTCTTCCCTCGTAAGGGTACCTGTCGTGTTTCCATAGAGACATAAAGCTGAATATCTGTCTTATCTGTTTTCTTGAGAATCTGGAAAGGATATCAATATATCGCCTTCCGTACGAATATAATGATCTGAATTCTGTGACGTATACTCTGGTCAGTTCTCTTTGCGGATCTTCTGTTCGGTCCGCATTTACTGGATGGTTTTCTCCGATATAGTGGCAAGTATCAAACACTGCTTCTTGAATCTGCAACTAAACATCAAATTTGAATCGAAGTACATTTGAATCAGAAAATATCATTAGAGAAAATACATAGATGTTGAATCTGAGACATACCTGAATAATATTTCAAACGTCCATAACCAGATTGCTACATATCCGCTTTTTTTCCGTATAGTGGTTTTTCCATATTTCACATGTTCAATTCCGTGGGTTATATCAAGGTTATATCAAGGCCAAACAATGTGCTGCTCAGATTTAAAATAACTGAGTATCAATAAGGATATCAACAATATATCGCTTTCCGAACGAATATATACATATATAAAGATCTGAATTCTGTAAAGTATTCTCTGGCCATTTTTGTTTGCGTATTATTTGATCGATTCGTCGTGATTGGATGTTTCTTTCCAATTTCAACACTTTGCTTCTCAGATCTACAAATAAACATGACATCAAATATCGAAGTCCATAAAAATTAATTCTGATTTCCATGAGAGGCGGAACACGGATGTTGAATCTGAAACATACCTGAATAATATTCTCAACATTCGTAACTGGAACGCGATATATTTATGTAATTCATCAATTCATCAACTAGATAAACAACACGTTTCTCTGCAATGATACTGCAATACTGCAAAAATGATCTTCCATTTCCACTCATGAAGCAACGTTGTCAAGTCACCAATTATAATCAATTTATCATAAAGATTAGAGTCCTGTCGTTGGATAAAAAACGAGATAAAACATAATAAGAGTAAGAAATGATATTATAGATCTTTCTTGAATTTTTAGAGCAACCAGCATGTCTGTATATCTCTTGTACTACAACAAAATATCATGTTGATGTTGAAGAGACTTGGCAACAATGTGCTGAATGCTGAGTACTGAAAAGGCCCCGCCCACAATTCGTGAGCCGGGTTGTCACGTTCACCCTCAAATATCCTCTAGTGTGAATTATTATATTAATATTTATATTAACACAACAGATGAGGGAATATTTTCAGACAATTGATTTTTATGTATTAATAGGAATATATCCAATACAAAATTGAGAACTTATGGATTATTGAATAACTAATATTTCCTAAGTTCCAATCGTATTTCAACATATGGAAACTGTGCTATGGTCTGTCTCTACTTACAAAATCATTACGTCAGTTTTTACTCGCGATAAACTTCTAGCCGTTTGAAAATTACCGTGACATTATTGTTGATCTCAGCACCTTAAAATCGAATGGAGAATTCTAAAAATATATGAAATTGAAAGTTATTTGAGTGATGATTCTATTTAAGAAATAAAAATAATTAGTCAACTCGCCTATTCCATTTTTGTGGAT